AAATAAATAAATAAATAAATAAATAAATAAATAAATAAATAAATAAATAAATAAAACAAAGAATAAGATGAATTAAAAAAAACATACTTTCTATTTTAGATCACTTCCAGGTTAGAATTTTGACATTAACAAAATAGGGTTTTAGCGCTGAACCTATTTTTTTTGTTTTGTCTCTCTCATTACGTTCTCCTGCAACTTCTATCAGAATCACATGCAGATGGCCTATTATGCAAATTAGTTGATTTATAAAATTTCAGTTACTAGAATGAAAACCAATATCTACTTTACTTTTACTGAGGAGTTGTAACGGCATCCTCAGTATGTGGTTGTTGCCAGTGCAGTTCTGTGTACATTGTCATTTGAGTCAGTAATTGCAGAATACAAATGGGAAAATAGCTCTCAGATTCATGAAATAGTGCTCACATAAATAAATGAGTGCTTTTGTGATTGGAGTTGTTTTAAGGCCTTGTTCACATGTAGCTGGGTCTTTTTAAAATGATGTTGCGGAGAAATTTGTTTCTATAAAATGATTTCGTCCGGTTTAAGAAAAGTGTTCATACGCACAAACCTTGTTGAATTACACTACAGAGCATTGTTTTAAACATGCCAACCCCATAGGGGGCAGTGTGGGGCAAAGCTAAGACCCATACCAACCAATCGCAATCCTTCAAAATAACTAAGACTTCCTTTTAGGAATTAAACATTTGTGTGTAGACAGACAGAAAGGTAAAACTACTTTTAAATACAGTGTTAGAAAATAAAGTCAATAAAACACAATGTGACCTGGGAATCATGTTAAAGCAAGTATGTGGACTCATGTAGGTTGAACAGGATTGTGTGTAGATTGGGACAGATACCTGTTGTAAGACAGCTGACCTCCAAGTGCACTTTCTCCTTTGCAGCTCAGCACATTGGAGCAATTGGGCTTATAAAATACAAGAAGGGTTTATGAGCAAGTGCACCTCTGTGAAAGAAGTCACCTTTCCTTCACTGCAAGGCCAAACAATAACAAAGGTCACATGTGAGATTTCGGCGCTGCATTAGTTGTTGCCCGTCATGCATTTACTTCTAAACCTCCGGTTTCCAATGTCCACATGCATGCAAAAAAGGAAAATTTGCAAAGCTTCATTTTGGCCAGAGGTTTTGTTTATAGTGTTTTTGTTTTGTGCTATTAAACAGAGGTTACATATGGATGAAAGATCAATTGGCATAAAAATCTTGGCGGTTTATCAGGTTTATGTTTGGAGAAGGCCTAAGATAGAGTGCAAGGTAGAGTGCGTTTTTGTTAAATTAAGATGCCAAGAGGTAAGATATTACAGTTCAGAACCCTTTAACAGAACCTAATTTTTAAAAATCAATGACCATGCCTTTAGAGAACCACTAGGTTCCTGGAAATGTCAGGATATTGTAAATGTTTTCAAGACTACAAGCCAAAAAGTTGCAAACTTTACTCTTTTAACAGCAGAATAATAGGGAAACAGCCATATGCTTGTGTAATCAAACCAAGTTCATGGATGATGGTTCCCTATTGCGAATGCAGAACTATAGCGTATTGTCGTCTTCGCTGTTTCATTTTGTCTTGGGCAACACAGATGATTAAAAACCCCTTCAAAAGCAACAAAAATAAACTTCTCCTCTTGGGAAGCTAAACATTTCAAAGAAGGTCACAATTGGAATATGCTCCTTTGTTCAGCACCCATTGCCTTTAACAGGCATAAATGATGTGTTACATAAGCAACATTTTAATAGAGCAAATGTGAAGCCTGTTGGCTGTCACTAAAAGATGTGAAGAAAGAAGTATGCATGTGTTTGTGGTCCTGGCACATGTTTAGTTGCGGTGTATTTGTATAAATCCAATTAAACGTTTAACGTTTTATATTTGAATGCAACACAAAGTATTTACAACTTTTTTGTATATTCTCATTACTGATTAGTTGTATTTTTATGTTTTCTTATTGTGTAAACATACAACTGTGAACTGCCATATGTTATTAAACAAGCAGATTAAGTAAAAAAATAAAAAATAAAAATAAAAATTGCAACTCCCTTTTAAAGTACGCTGGCACTTACTCACAAAACAACGCAATTCAGGTTGACGTTAAAATACCGGCCATGTAAAGATTATTGAGAGCAAAGAAGTATCGGGTGTGCGAGGTCTTCGCCTGGGAAAAGAGAAATTAAATCAGAGCCGTGACTAATCATTCCTCAACCAAGTCAAACAAGGACAAGAGAAAGAAAACATTTTGGTTATTTCCTTTTTATTTGCGCTTTTAACTGTTTTTCTTTTTTAACTTCAGATAGATCACAATGAACACAGCCTTTAGACAATAGCAGAGATAATCCATACAAATAAAAATGTCTCTGGTCTTTTCACCAGCTGCTCATGGTAAAGTGGAGCCCTATGCTATCAGTGCGGGCCCTGTGGGTGAGGGAACAACACCGACATCATCGGGTGCTTAATTTAACAAACCGAAAAGGCATATTGTCTGATATGTGTCTGTGTTTGTGAAGCAGTGACTGTCTGAGTCTGTGTGCACTTGCATCAGTGTGAGTAATAGACCAGAGGTGGTTAGCCACATTCAACGAGGCCCTTCCCTAATCGCTTGGTAAAGCCAACAAGTCTCAAGTGGGCAAAAAATATCACACTCTAGGCTTGAGTAATGCACTGCCAACAGTGCAAGATGCCAGTGTGTAATTAGACAATAATGAGAGACCTCACATAACGCTCAATCTCTAAACTTCTGAGGCCAAACTATGCGTTGGCCCTGAACAGCAGCCTCTGCTCTATTAAACAGCAAATAGCCTGAGAAAAGGGGGCCATGGCTTTAGAGAATTCCTTTCCACAACTGGACCCTGCACATTTCTTCACCTTCGGCTTTTAGATGTGCAGACAGTGGCCAGGGCGAGGGAACACCATCAGAGGGGACAGTACCTTGAATTGTGACAGCGACAGTGAAAACAATGAAACCTGGGATGTCCTCTACATACCTGTTTTGAATACGGGAAAGAAAGGAAGGACATCAACATGGAGTTTGAGGTGGAGAAAGAAGGAAAATGGACATAATATGTACAGAAATCAAACAAACAAGCACGCAACACAAAGAGAGACTGCTGGCTCTAGCTAAGAGGCAGACAAAGTTGCTCAACACAAAAAAATCACTAGGGTACATAAGGAAGACTCAAAATCAACTTTGCAATGTTTCCCCCCCCCCCTCTCTTTAAGTATTTATTTCATTTTCAGTGCTTATGAAAATGAAATGAACAAATGCACCAGTGCATTTAAGCATTATGTCACTTAAATGCACTGGTGTTTGTGAGTGTGTGTGATGGCATTCCTGGCTGGAACTCTTTGTGCTGCCTGTATCATGTGAATCTGAGGCTTGCTTGATTTATCCAGATATTTAAATTAAAACAGAAGAAAAAAGTCTCCTCCGAAAAAGAAGGAGAAGCGTAAATATTTGTGTGCCTCTGTCAAAGCCTCTAAGCTCTGTCTAAAAATCAGCATTCTGCTTTTCTGCAAAAAAAAGAGCAAGGGTAAACCTAAACCAAATACTTTTCAGATGAAAGAGAGGAGAAAAGGTAGCAGTTGCGTTGCCCCTCTAAGGAGAGAAAACAGTCAAAAAGGGAGAGATGTCAGTGAATGAATAGCAAAATGCAAAGAAGTCAAAAATATGCAGAACGGAAGAATGATAGAATGCCCAAACAAAGGAAATCCCAAAAAAACAAAAAAAAAAACATGGGTGTGATTTGCCTGTATGACAACAGCTGAAATTCTACTTCCAACATGTCTAGGTGCCACAATAAGTCACTGTTTCCTCTCATGGCTGCAGGTTATATACATTTTATGATTGTGGTCACATTTTCCAGAACACAAGTAGCCTACTGTTCCGTCTACCTTACTGTAAGGGATTTGTTTTTTTTGTTTCTTTTTTTGAAAAAGCACCCTGCATTAGTATTTCAGACTGGCCGAAACGTGCCAAAATTCTCAAAAATAAATGTTTTTCTTCTTTTTTTATTTTAAGAAATCCTGAATGCAAAGACACCTGGTTATACAAACCACGTATCCAAACAGCGAAGATGTTCCAAAGTAACTTCAGATAGAATTTCAGATGTCAAGTCTCTCTGCAAAGTATGAGATTTCCAACATGTATTGAAGAAGAAGTACATACATAAACAATGCAGACTGTTGAAAAAGAACCTGTTTTGGTCCTTTGTAGGAAATGCACATTTTGGTGGACCAGGGCTTAAGAAGCAGTCACAAAGCTCCACAGATACAACAAGCTCTCTGCAGAGACAGTAAGGCAGTTTCATGATCACCAAGGAAACCACTCCACTTTCCATATGGCGGGTTTCTTTTCTCTCTCTCTTTTTTTTGGAAAGAAAGTAGAAACAGAATGAACAGAAAATATGCAGACTTGTTATTGTTAAAGAAAATAGCTGCCTTATAAAAATTTGCTCAGTAAAAATAGTCAAACTGTCTCCTTATTGTTGTTGCTTTTTTTGTTGTTGTTGTTTGTTTGAATCGTCTTCCAGATCAGCTGGCTCATTAAGCTTCTAACAGTTATTGTATTTGATCCAGCTGGATCTCAGGGTAAAAAGAGGCGACATCTCAAAAGCACTGAGGCCAGTCTGCCTGCAAAGATGCAGAATAGAGATGGAAAAAAAAAAAAGGAAACACCAACAGAAACCCAAACTAAAGCAAACTCACAGAGTTCGACAGCTACTAAGGCAACTTTTGCCAAATACAATATAAGCCCATGTATATTGCAACACAACAATATATTAATTTAATAAAATACACAATATAGCTTTTGTACACATAACAATTTGGCTCAAATGCACAGAAATTGCAGTAAAATCAATAAAAAATATGTCAGTTTTTCTGATGTAAACACATCTAAATTGGATACATATACACATAGAATGATATTATGTATAGTGATAATGTGAAGGGACATTTTCTTGTTTTGTCATATTTTTGGATATTTGTCTTTGAAACAATGGCAGTGTCCTTTGCAGTTCTTTCCTGAAATGCTTCGCACCTGACCTCAACTCCAGGACACTATTCACTTCAAATTCCTGTTTTTTTTTTTGTTTTGTTTTTTTCCTCTCCTTATAAAATGTATAAATATTTTGCTGATATTCGGACACTATACATGGATTCATACATACAGCCATCTATATAACCATATAGATATTATCTTTTCACAGCTGAGGAAAGAAATGTCCCTTTTTATACAACTTGATTGCCTTAAGGCATAGTCACACACATGATAATTCACTGTACACAGGGGACTAAAAGCTGATGGTGTACATGTATAAGACAAATCCACAGATGGGCAGTCGTGTGTGAGCATTCATTTGTTTGCGTGTTTCTGCGTGTGGTGCAGCATCAGCGCGTGTCGATGTACTGCCGTGTGTGTGTGTATGCAGAGTGGTAGTGCACATGTGGTGACGTTGGTGCGTGCAACTACATTGCTGAGCAACATGAACATTTAAATAGAGGTGTGAGACAGACACAGCTTACACATGTAGTTACAAAATGACGGGTGAGACATGGTTACACTGTTAATAAATCCGACTGAAACAGATCCGACTGGTCCATAGCAACCCACTCTCTAAAAGGACACCTCTTCAGGTACAGATCTGGTCCATCACACGCTACACTTTTTGTTTATCACTTAATAAAAAAAAAAAACCCGAACAAACAAACAAACAAAAGAAACAGGTAAAGTTGTGTTCCTGTCCTTCACTGTCCGAACAGATCGGCTTTTGTTTCTCTTTTTCCACATCGATTGTCAGGTCTGACCTTAAGTAGTCCTTTTGTCGTTCAGTTTCAATGTCCAACACGCAAAACAGAAATCCACCTACGCACACTTAAAAAGATATGTAGGATTTCACGATAGACCATGAACAACACACGGATGAGCTGGTGGGCACTTAGATAGGAGCTTGCGAGGTGCCAGAGGCTTAAACCCCTGCAATTTTCTTAAGAATCCAAAAAAAAGTTTAGAAATTCAGAAAAAGTCAGATGTCAGTTCCTTATTTTGTTGGTCGCCATGTGACTGACGTAATAAAAGTCCAGTGTCTGTACTTTTTCTACAACAAATACAGTGAAAAACGCTCTGGGGACCAGAGAGGTTTAACCTATTCGATTTGTTTTGGTGACAGTTTTGGCATGAGAGTCGTTAGAATAGCAACAAACCCCGACTTTTTATCTTCACAATTCCTACGCTGCAGTCGTTTGAGTCACTTTCTCAGTGTGCCAGTGGCCTCACTTTCTCTGCAGTCCTGCAACAGTTTGTCGATGTCTCTCACCACCTGGTCAGCGTCCATCCCGTCGCGGCTTGAATCTGGTTCCGCCTGCTCCAGGACACACTCCATTTCACCTGCTGCCTCCTGACTGATCCTGGAGCGGGCCTCTGCGAGCACCTTGGCCACCGGGTCTGAGGGTGGCAACGATGGGTACACCCCTTGGTCTCTTGTTTGTTTAGTAGGTGACAGGTATTGACCATCGGGTGGCCCGTAGTGGACGGAGCAGCTGGCTGGGGGAGGTTTGCCCTCAGCCCCATCTGCTGGGCCTTTTACAGCGGAGCAGGGAGGCATCGTGGAGCAACCCTTGGTTGGACTGCTGGAGGCTGAGGGTACCTCTTGCAGCAGGGGGCTGAGGGCACGTTTTGCTTTTAGGTAGGGCTTGACATTGGCGACAAGGATGGTGTGGTCGCGTCTTTCCTTGCCGAAAGTACAGAATGTTTTCTTGCCGTTGGGGTTGACGGTCTCATAGGTTTCTGTCTCGGCAACTGCCTCCATCCCGGCCGGCACAAACATATTGTTGCGGTAGTCAACACCTTCCGCCTGGTTTCCGCCTGCGGGGAACTGAGGCATCCAGCAGCGGTCAGAATGACCCAGTACTCTGCACTCCTCTGTGCAATTTAAACAATCCTCATCTGCAGACAAAAACAAAGGGAGGGGATGGATGGAGGAGATAGCAACGTTAATGTCAAACATCTATATAAAGCGGAATTAAAACGCAAAACGAGACGGCACTTAAATCCTACTGGCATTAAAAACCAAAGTAAACTTGAGAAGGAGTTAAAGGTAGAGAAATAGAACAAAAATCCCAAAGAAATCCCCAAAAAAGAGGAAAGCCAGCAAAGGACGTCCCATTCTTGGCGCTCACATATAAACACAGGCACATGTGCACTAAAGCACACATAAAGGCACACGGCTTTCCAAGGGAACTGGGGGACACCTGCTTGCATTTTCCAAAGCTCTGATCAAGGGGATGGCAGAGCATACAGAAAAGATGGGAAGGGAGTGAGAGAAAAACAACAACGGTTCAGGTTTGGCATAGGCACAGTGGCGTTATCATAAATTCATGTCAGTGGGCTTTGAAGCCCTCCCTAGATAGTGAGCCTGTGCCAAATGGCTTGTGCTTCTTCCCTGTGTGTTTCTGCCTGTTTATTTGCGCGTGCCTTGTTGTTGCCTCTCATGTGCATATGTGTGCATAGAAGTGTGTGTTTCTCTCTTTCATCTCTATTCAGAAGGAAGCACACTTTGGCTGATTATGGGAGTGTTTGTGCCTGTGTAAAGTGGATCCAAAACTTGGCTAAAAAAAAAAAAAAGAGAAAGAAAAAAGTATATATATTTTTTTTGCTCCTGATGGAAGAGAGGAGGAAACATTGTGTGGCACAAAAGGTTTTTGTCGTATGTTGGATACAGAGACACGAGTCATACAAAACAATGTGAAATGAAATTACTGAAGCTTATGTCTTATTTCTAACAAAAATTAGACATCCAGACTCCCAAACCACTATAAAGTGACAAATTGGAAAGATATTAAGAGGCGTCTTAATGGATGCCATAGTGAGTTCCTGTAATGTTATCAACCTAGTAGACAGATGTGATGTCACTGTAAACATGTTAGAAAAACATCTTCATAGCAGCGAAACAGCTAACAGTCGGTGTTAGTTGATTTTAGCTTTTTCAAACAAGTCAGTTTAAGAATATTTCTGTATGTGTTATATTAGTAGATACGAAATATGTAAATTTTCACAGGAGATTGTTAAGCTTGTCTCCATGCTCTCTCCTAAATAACTTCCACATTACTGCATGGACGTTACGTCGAAGGCCGTGACTTGTCAATCTGCTCCAAGTCCACCAAGAGTGGAGCAAATGTTTGAATTTTGCAACAGGCTGTCATTTGTGCAACTGCACTGCAGATGGTGCGTTTCTGTCCTTTTTGCTTTTCCAGGTCTCATAGCTGTTTGGAAACTATGGCAGCAGATTTCCAATCAGGCGATTGGGCAGATCAGCAGTTCAGTTCGCCAACAAAACTTTAGTTTGATGGAAGTTGTTTGACAAAGTAAGAAGCAACAAAATCCATGGCGTCTCCTCAAGCTAAACATTTACTGGCAAGACGTTAACCTGCTACCTGAGTATTTTATTATGTTCCATACTTACAAGTAAGAAAATTGTTGCTCATATTTTTACAGAAAATTTGGGAGAAAGGTGACAGCAGTGGTAGGAGTTCGTCCTTTCACCATCTTTCTGCGTCTGTGTTTTCAAGGCACTTAACCTGCCTTGCTTGCGGTCAGAGGATCTGATGACGACAGGATGGCTGTGGCTACAACGGAGTAGCTTTTCACCATCAGAACGTGCATGAGTGAATGACAAAATCCGCAGGATCCTCTGGACTTAATAAAATACAGGCCATTTACCAAATTACAAAATTGTCTTAAAACTCCAGAAAAATAGCAATCGAAAACAGCTTTCAACTAAATGTTAAACTTGGCATACGGAGCAGAATTTCAATAACACAGTAAGATACTCAAAATGATAATAAACTCTGGTCATAATGGTCAATGGAAAAAGCTGACTTGCATTAATTGTTGCTGCTGCGCCCTATAAAAACACACCAGTCAAGACGATCGCAGTGTGAACCTGGCCCTAGTTGAGATGGTGTCAGCCTTGTGTCAAACACAGGTGTCTGCCTCTTTCTTCCTGTGTTTATCATCCAAGTTATACCAGCTAATTTCCACCTACTTTACTTTTCTTAAATAAGACTGAGGATAAATGTTTATCCTTGTACACCTCAATTTGACAAATGCACTCCATCATTTTGATGTATTTTTTATAGCAAAAATCAGAGGTTTTGAATTCTGAAGAACTTATCAACACAAGGCTACAATTTGTACTTGCAAATGTAAAAACAAAAGGTTACCTTTCATTGGAGTAACAACAAGGCCACTTAGAACCGTGCAGCGTTCGAGCTACTATTCTCAACTGACTCCTGAAGGACAGAATTGCTGTTAGGAACTGGAAAGCTACCCCATCAGCTCCATTATGCAATGCACAAGGCTCTACAGCGCGGCGAAAGTGCTGCTTTAAAGACCACAAACCTGGGACTAATACAATCTTTCGTTGATGCGAATGAGCAAGCAGAGTGGATGTGCTTGAGTGCACTTGGCTTGGCCGTCTTTGCCGAGTTGCGGGTCAGCAGCACAGATTCCCGAGAGACTGCCCTTCCTAAGCTGTGGAGATGAGCTTAACACTTCACAAATGTTTGAAGAAGCCCAAAAGCGCTGCCAGGGAGAGCCTGACATTTCCCGTGTCAAGGCAGTCATCTGCAGAGGAAATAAGGTGAGCTGGAAAAGCGAGACTAGACCAATACAAAATGGACTACATTTAAATGGTGTCGATGACGAGTTAATGCACCTACACACGCCGACTGAGAGTGATGCACGTCTGAGGTTTTAAGGAAGCGATTCAAGATTGGAGCAAGAAAATGTAAGCGCAGACATCGCTGATTTAGTCAAAAGACTGCACATAAAAATACAAACTTCAATATTATTTTCAACCAGAGCACACAATGGCTGTAATACATCAGCAGGGTTAAAAAAAAAAAAAAAAAAAAAAAAACAGGGCCGGAATCAAAAAATCAATTTTTTTTAAAACTTCCGCCCTTCCCCCCCCCCCCCCAAAAACAA